ACGGCGCGAGGGCGGCCTGGGCGCCGGGTTGGGCGCGCGCGGCGCCGCCTGAAAGCTGAAGGCCGGGCCACTCGCGCCGTCCTGCGGAGACATGGGGCTCACGGCCACCGACACGCAGGCCTGCGCGCCCGCCTGTGTGCCTGCGTCCTCGCGCGGCGGCGGGGCGCTCGCCTCCCACGACGGCGCCTTAGTGAAGTTGTCGCGAGTCCGCGGCCCTGGCGGGGGCGCTGCAGCCTCCGGGCCAGGGCTTCTCCCGGCCCCAGAGGCCGCCGGGGCTTTCTGGCCGAGGCTAGGGGCCTGCTTGCTGTACGCTGGCTCCACGCGGCCCCCGCCACTCCCAGCACCCGCGGGAGAGGCAGCTGAGCCGCAGGGTTTACCATCTGACTGCCTGATGGAGGGGGCCTCCGTCTCCTCCAGAGTCAGGGGGGCTACCTTCCCCGAGGGTGTGGGCTCTGCTTTTCTCGGAGGGGCAGAGTCGGCCTTCCCCAGGGCCACAGGCTCCACCTTCCCAGAGGCAACAGGGTCTGCTTTTCCTGATGATCGAGGATCCCCCTTGTCCAAGGCCAGTGGCTTCTGCAGATATGCAGCCTCTGCTTTTTCTGATGAAGCAGGATCCTCCTGCCCAGGGGGCTTTGTTTCGGCTCTGCCCTCAGGCTTGGGTTCTGCTTTCCTTGATGCCCTGGGATCCACCTTTGTGGCGTTCATAGGATTCCCCTTCTCTAGAGGCAGAGGATCCACCTTTCCCTCAGGGACAGCTTCTGCTGTTCCCCAGGATGCCAGGACTGTTTTTCCTAGGGTCACAGGGGCCAGCTTTCCTGAAGACACAGAGTCCACTTCTCCAGGGGGAACAATTTCTGCCTTCTCCCTGCTCACAGGATCCTCCTTGCTCAAGGTGGCCGGATCAGCCTTCCCTGAGGCTGTGGGGCCCACCTTTCCAGAGGCCACAGGACCTGCCTTCTCCAGGGAGAGCGGATCTGCTTTCCCCCCAGGCACTGCCTCAAGTTTTACAGAGGAGGAGAGTCCCACTGTCCCCAAGAACTCCGGATTCCCTGGACCTGAGGGCACAGGGTCTATCTTTCCTGAAGATTCAGGATTCACTTTTTCAGAAGATGATGTTTTTGCGTTTCTCACAGAAATGGGATCCACCTTTCTGGAGGACACCGGGTCCTCCTTTCCTGAGGATACAGTTTCTGTCTTGCCCACAGACGCCGGTTCTGCCTGCCCAGGAGACAAGGGCTCTGGCTTTCCTGAGGACACAGGATCTACCTTTCCCAAAGGGACTGGACCCACCCTGTCTGAAGACATGGGATCCACATTTTTCAAAGATATGGGATCCATCTTTCCTGAAAACACAGGATCCACGTGTCCAGCAGACACAGTTCTTATCATTCTCATAGACACAGGATCTCCCTTTCCTGAGGAGGCAGGATCCATCTTCCCCAGGAACTGAGCGTCCTCTTTTGCAGAGGACACAGTTTCTGCATTTCCCATGGATGCAAGATCTGTCATCTCCAGCCATGTAGGATCCACCCTTCCTGATAACCCCAGAGCCACTGTTCCAGAGGATACAGGCTCAGTTTTGCCTGATGAGCCTGGAGTCAGTGTTCCTAAGGACCTGGGATCTGTCTTTCCTGCAGATGCAGAATCCATGTTTTCCAAGGACATGGAATCCACCTTTCCTGAGGGCCCAGGATCTCTCTTTCCCAGGGACACAAGATCTGCCTTTCTGGGAGATGCAGGACCCACCTCTTCTGAGGACAGAGGAAGCTCCTCCTTGTTTGGAAATGCAGGATCCACTATGGCCGAGGATCCAGGATCCTCCTTCTTTGGGGACACTGTATCCACCTTGCCAGAGCACGTAGGCTCTACCTTTACCAAGGATCCACTATCTTCCTTTCTTGAGCTCATAGGATCCATCCTTCCAGAAGCCACAGGATGCCCCTTTCCTGAGACTGTAGGCTCTGTCTTTCCTATAAAGGTAGGATCTGCCTTTCTCAAGGACCCAGCACCTTCCTTTTCTATGGAAGTGGAATCTGCCTGCTTTGAAGACTTGGAATCCATTATCTCCACAGGATTTCTGTTCTCCGAGGATGAGGGATCAGTTTTCACTGAGGACACAGGCTCTGGCCTCCCAGAGAAGGTGGTTTCTGGTGTCCCTGAGATCGAGGCTCTATGTGTCCCCAATGCCTCTTGGGAAGGGATGCAGGTCAGGGAGGGGTAGGCCAAGCTCCCGCCAGGGCCCTCAGAGCATGAGGCCCCATCCCCAGCTCCACTGGGGCTGCTGTGTCTAGAGTCCATGCCTGGGCTTTGGGCAGGGGTGTGCCTGGGGGGTGCAGGGCTGGCCTTTTTCTGGGAGGGGCAGCAGTCCCTCATGGCCAGGCTCCTAGCCCCCAGGCTCCCATCCTGTGGGCAGCAGAGGGCTGTGGGCTGGGGTCCTGGGGGGCTGGAGTCCTTTCGAAGCAGCTGGAGCCAGGCTGGGTCTTCAGCACTGCCCAACGGCCCTCCTGACCATGCTTGGGCCCCAGGCTGCTGTCTGGTTCTGAAACACAGAGAGAGCAGACTCAGACTCAAGGGAGACCCAGCAGGGAGAAGCCCCCTTCCGGGGCTCTTCCCTCTCACCCTCTTTCCAGCCTCCAGGCCTCCTCACCTGCTTCTTTGCCCCTGTCTGGGTCCCTCCTGTCCAGAGGGCCTGGGCTAAAAACACAAACCCAACCATGTCACTCCCCTGTTCCCAGTGGACCTCTGGATAAAGGTCAGACTTTTAACATGGCATTCAGGACCCTTCACAACTTGGCCACAGTCTAACTTTCAACGTCTCCTACCATCACCCCTCCCTTGTTAGCCCTCCCCATGCAGCATGCTACCCAGAAGTTATGGTTTTGTCCTCTAGGCCACGGGTCACAAACTCTGATGCCATAGGGGCCAGGTAGGTAATTTAAGTGAGGGAAGCAGGCTGGGTATAAAACAATAGGGAGTGCTGGGGATTGTGGCAAACCAGAGAGTGCACGCCCTGTCTAAGGTGGATCTGCTGCTCCACCAGCCAAGTACCACTCTGGAGAAATGCAACCTGGTAGTACCAGCGAGAAGTGGGAAATGCAGAGCTTTAATGTAAAATATCCTAGTTAATTCAAGACGAAAAAAAAAACCACCACCACTTATGTGGGCCAAATAAAATCTGTCTGTGGGCCACCAGTTTATGTGCGTGTAGGTCCTGGGGAGGCATAAATAGTTCACAGTCGAGGAAGGGACATAGTCCGATATGTGTGTTTTCAAAGATTGCTCTGGGATGATGTTGAGGCTGGGCTGGAGGCCGGGGGCTGGCCAAGACCTATGAGGAAGCCCATCAATCATTCATTCAATCTCTCATTCAGCCAATTCTTCATTCATTCACCCAACCCCTTCTCTGCAATAGTCTAGAAGAGAGATGGTACAGCAAAGGCCCTGGGGATGGAGGCAGCAGGACTGAGAGACCTGAGGGAAAACTGATAGGAACCAGCAGCTGTAGGGGGTGACGGTGGGGGTGGCCCACAGGATTCTGGCTTGTGCGGGGCATGCGGGGCAGGAGATCTGGGGAAAGGGGGAGTTGCCTTTTGGACAAGCCGAGTGTGTGGTGCCTGAGGGACGTGCAGGGAGAGGGTCTGGCAGGCAGCTGCATCTACGAGAAACTCTGTTCCATTACACGCTCAGCCGCCAGCGCGAGCAGAGCTCCCCACTCCCCCAAACCTGCCCCTCCCACCATCTTCTCCACAACGTCTCCTTAGTGCTCAGGCCCAAATCCGTGGAGTCACCCTTGACCTTCTCACCCTCACGTCCTACACATCAGCACAACATGATGAATTGACCTTCAAAATATATCCAGAATCTGGCCACTACCTCGAGCCAGACCCCCAACATCTCCCATCTGGATTCTCCCTGCTTTTTCCTTCACTCCATTCAGTTTCTTCTTAACCCAGCAGCCAGAGGGATCTGAGTAAAACCCAAGGCAAATCTCGTCCTTCCTCTGCTCAGAACCACCCAGTGTCTCCCTGTCTCATGCCAAGTAAAAGTAAACTCCCTACGATGGCCCACAGGTCCCCGCATTTTCTGGCATGTCACCTCTCTTGGCCTGTCTCCCATTACTGTTGCCGGATTAGGCTGTTTCAGTCACACTCCCTGCCTTGGGGCCTTTGCACTGGCTGTTTCCTCCGCCTTGAATGCTTTCCCTCCCCATCTCTGCCAGGTCTGCTCCCTGGGGCTTTCTCTGATAAAATATCCTATATAAAACAGCCTCCTCCCCAACACTGGCTGGCGCTCTCCATCCGCCTTGCCCTGCTCACTTTTTCTTCACAGTACCTGTCACCATCTGACATATTACATACAGTTGTTTATTGTTTATGACTTGTCTCTCCCACTAGAAGGTCAGCTCCAGGAGGGTGGGGACTTTGTTGTGATGTATCCTCAGGATGGAGAACAATGACTGGCAGGTAGTAAGCAAGCAGCTCCCAATAAATATTCGTTAAATGAATGGCTGAATGATCTTTCTAAGATGTTGGTCCAACCACTCCTTGACTCAAAACCCTCTTCACTCTTTTGGCGGAAGTAAATTGGTTGTAATCTTTTGGGAAGGACATTTATCAGCTTCTATCAGAGTTTCCAATGCACACGGCATCTGGGCCAGCAAGCCCAGCTCCAGGGATGGTCTTCAAGATAGACTGATGGTGCACCAAGGGTGCGCGAGAACATGGCCAGTGATGAGAAGAAAACCAGGAAGCGGGTTCATGAAATGCAGGACAACCACACGGGGCCCCTGCAGCTGTGAGAATGTGTGGGGGTGATGAGGAACGATGCCCAAGGTAAATGAAGTGAAAAAAGCCAGAGGCCAACATGGCTAGTGGGATCCCCTGCACGTAGCCAAGGAAAAGGACAGACACACATCTATGGGCTAGTTATAAAGAGAACATTTCTAGAAGGAAACCAATGAAACTTTCAACAGCAACTGCCTCTGGGGAGTGAGACTGGGGATCTAGAGGTGGAAGAGATTTTTTTACCTGCCCCTTTGTGGTGTTTGAATTTTGGTTATGTGTGCACCTATTACCTTTTTTTAAAACAGGACAAAAAGAAACCTTTAATGATTCCCTATTAGGGAATCACTAACCTTTAGGCTCTCACTAACCTTTAGGCTGCAGTTTAGACGCCTCCTCCTCCAGGGAGCCTTCTCTGCCCACCAGCTTCCTCGGGGTTCCCATGGCCTCTCGTTCTTCCTCTAACTAGACTCGTCACTCTGCATGGAGCCCTTTACATCTCTGGGTCCCTGCTGAGACCTTGATTCCCTGATGGGGACTCAGCTGACACTGCTCACCACTGGGTCCCCCAGGCTTTGGGCCTATGGGACTTGATGGGGACATGGAGAGAGGGGCAGTTTTGCAGAGGATAGTAGGGAAGTTGAAATGAGGAGCCTGTGGGACTTACAGAGGGGACATCCGGGAGGCAGCCGGGAGACAGGTTTGAAGGACGGGGGTGGTCTGGCTGGAATTCTTTGGATCTTGTTTTCAGCAGCATAAAAATGAGGAGCTGGAAGGTCACTGGCCTACAGAGGTCAGGCAGGCATCAGGTTTGAGTGGTATGGACTGGGTCCGTCTTCATTTTTTGCCTTTTGATGGTGATATGGACACAGATAAGTATCTTTCTCCCATAAGAAAAACTACAGAGCAAGGGAGATGATTGACGACTCCTGACATCCTCAGAGTGAGGGAGACAAGAGGGCGTAGTGGAGACTGTGGCAAACTGGAGAGCACTGTCCCCTTCTAAAGGGGCAGGTGCACTCAGTTTCCACTGACTGTGGCCAATTAGGAGTTCATCCATTAATTGAACATTTATTGAGCACATGTGCAATGTTCTAAACACTGTTCTTGGTACTGGGGATACAGCAGTGAATAAAAAATGCATGGTCCCTGCCTTCCAGGTGTGGAAAGACTGGGGGGAGAGTAGCAAACAAGTAAACAAATAAATAATTTAATTTCAAATAATAATAGATGCTGTGAAGACAAAGGAGTGGACGGCTGGCTTAGACACATAGTCAAGGAAGGCCCCTCTGAGGAGGTAACACCTGCGCCAGCCATGGAAAGGCCTCAGTGGCTGGAGTGGAGTCTGAAGGAGGAGAGGGAAGAGTGGGGGGGAGAGGAGGTGGGGGCCGGTCATGCAGGGCCAGGGAGAGGAGCAGGGGCTCATCCTAAGGGTACTGGGAAACTCCTGCAGTGTTTTAAGCAGGGAAGTAAATGTGGCTCCTGTGTAGCCAGGTCTCCTAATTTTTCGAGCAAAGTCATAAACTTGGATTTTCTATATTTTAAATTTTGGCTAATTTTTAAAATACCACACAGGCTGAAGAAATCACTTTTGTGGGCCAACTCTGACCCCCAGGTCACTTGTTTGCAACCTCTGATCCATCTGGTTCTTGGCGCGGTGGAAAAGGATGCTATAAGCCAGATTGACTGGGTAGATGCGCAAGAGAAAGGGCCCAGGTTCTAGTGAGGACTCAGATCTGCCTGCCACGCCTGCCTCTCAGAACCTCGGGCTCTTCCTCTGGAAAACAGGCATTCAACAGCTGCCTGGCAGGTGCACAGGGAGCTGGGGCTGGAGCGGGAAGGAGTCAGCAGGGCAGTGGGAGGGATGCGCTGAGTCCCCACCACCCCGCCTTTCACCCCGGTAGCCCAGCCCTGGGTCCCCTCACACCAGCCCCTCCAACAAGCCCCCCCGGGTGTGGCCTGTGCAGGAAGTCAGGACAGCTCCCCACTGACCAGCTCTGAGACCTCAGGCAAGTCCCTTCTCCTCACAGGGGACCCTGACAGACCCACCCCCTGCCCCCGCAAGCTTGTAAGAATTAGAGGAGATGAGGGTGTGCGGCTCTGCTCACGTTAGGGCCGGGCTGTGTACAGGGAAGGCCTGTTTTTATCTGCTCAGCCTGTCAGAGCCCAGCTGTGCTCCCAGGAGGGGGCCGGGCCGGGCCGGGCCGGGCCGGGCGGCAGGTAGCAGAGGCACAAACTGGCAAAACCTCGCCCTCAGACAAGCTTGTTTGACCCAGAGGGCTGAAAAAAAAAGAGGAAAAATTAAAAAAAAAAGAAATTAACTATTAACATTTAAAAATAAGAAGATTTCATGTGCAAATCAGATTTCCAGCTTCTCTTGGAAAACTAAAATTTGGCAATCTGAGCGCGCTTCCTGCACGAAGCAGTCAGCTAGAGCCGAGCAATGGCTGCCTCCTTAGACAGTGACATGCTCCCTGGTTAGCCACAGTCTCCAGCCCTCCCTATGGTGTCCTGCACACGGAGGCTGATGGCCCCTTGCCTCTGATCACTGAAGTTGCACGGTCATTTTTCTTGTAGCCAGCCCCTCATGAATGTCATCCACCTGGCCTGTAGCCACCTGAGTTTTGACCCTTGACCCTGATGCTGAAGAAGGTAGGAGGTGACCTCGCACACATCAAGCCCTTACTACGTTTCCTGTGTGCAGACCTCATACACCTGCCAGGCAGGTGCTGTGTTCTTATTTTCCAGAGGAGGAAACTGAGGTTCTGAGAGGCAGGCATGGCCCAGCTGGGAACAAGCGCCTTCTGAAAGCCTCCTAGAAGAGGTCGGCTTTCTAGTCCCCAGCTCGCAGTTCCCGACATGGGATAAGGTCTGGTGTAGGGACAGAAGGCCTGGCCAGGGAGTTAGTAAGATGAGGGGTCAAGCCCCAGCTGAGGCATTGACTTGCTCCATGACTTTGGGTGAGGTTCTCCACACTCTGGGCCTCAGTTTCCCAATCTGTGAAATGGAGAAGGGGATGTAGTTATATCTAAAAGAGCTGGCCCACCCTGGGTTTAAGATCTGCAGAGATGCCCATTCCCAGAGGCTCTGCTGCTCACAGTTCGGCCAAGCCCTTCCTGGCTCTTGAGGAAGCCTCAGGATCCTCCAGCCACTTCTCCAAGAGGCAGCCCAGGCCTGGGGTGGCACCTCCTCACCCCTACCCTTCCACTAGAACCCAGCTCCATCACTCACTCCCTGGATGCTCAGCCCCAGGCCAGCACTCTCAGGCTCACCCTATCATCTGGCCTCCACACGAGCTCATGACGGAGCATTATCATTCCATTTCACAGATGAGGACACTGAGGTCAGAGTGAGAAAAGACCGGACCGAGGGCACACAGCAGCGGGGGGAGAGGGGGCTGTGGTTCAAAGCCTATTGTGTCTGAACCCAAAGCCTGGGTTCTCCTCACTCGTATCAGCTAAGATCTTGGACACTGACGCTTCGGTCTTCAAACGCCTTTCTGCTCTTTGAGGTCAGGCCAAGGGTCGTCTTGATCCCCTGGTCCTAACAGGCAACAGTGCCAGGGAGCGTCCAGGAGAGGAAGCAAGAGTGTCCCCACGTGCACACACCCCTCAGCAGGAACAGGCACCCCTATGAACAGAGGAGCCTGCACACGTGTTTGATTGAGATGAGCCCCGAGGTGTGTGGGCCGGCTCACCTGGCCTGCAGAGGGGCACGGAGATGGCTTGTGGATGTCTGCGCCAGCTAAGGCCAGCCCGGGGAGCCGGGACCCGGCTCCTGCATCCTGCTCACGAGCTTGGTGCACACATGTGCAACCTGTATGTGCAGAACAGCCTGTGTGTTTGCGCTTGTGAGGCCACTTGGACCCTGCGGTGTGCCCATGTGTGGCCACATGGCCTCAGAGACTCACTCATGGGGGAGCTGGCCTGGGTGTGTGCATAGGTGCTTGTGCCCAGCTCCAGAGCAGAGTAGTCCAGGTGAATGCCCACTCCAGCCCAGAGACCTGGCCAACCTGTTCCTTTTTCTCCAGGATTTCTTCCCAACTGGAGCCAGGGCTGCCAGGCACCTGCAAACATCTCCTCCCATGGTGACAAGACCTACAAGCCTTGTGGGGCTTTGGCAGGCGTGAATGTGCGCCTGTGTGTGTGTCTGACAATCCTGGTCTGCTGCCCCTCGCCCTCCTGTCCCCTCATCTCCTAGCACCCTCAGAACAGCAAAGCTTCCTGCCTGGGGCTGGAGAGAAGAAGGTGTCTAGCAAAGGGTGATAGGCAGACCTTCCAGAAATGGCTCCCAGGCCATCGGTCCATCCATCCACAGGAGGACAAGAGTGGACGTGTGGGGGTGTGCACACTTGGGCTGAATGTGGGCAGGGGGCTGACAACAAGCTAAGAGACAGTGTGCAACAAGGAGCTTGTGCACATGTGACAACGTACTCCAGGGTCTGGGGGTACATGAGGAACACCATGATGAGCAGGTGTGAACAGGCACAACCAGGCCAGAGCAGGGTGGCTGCCAGTGTGTTGTGATCAGGGAGTATTGTTGAGTTGAGTGTGCTCTGATAGGCAATGGCTGGTGTGAGTGCGTAGCTATGCCTGGGTGTGTACACAAGGCTCCCACTTGGTGTACTGGGTGGGTGCACAGGTGGCCGTGTGTATGAGTCTGATGGAATGACCAAGGGCCATAGTGTGTGTGTGCGCAGACCCATGGCCTCGCGCTGTGAGTATGTGACAGGGCCCCAGAGTGTGTGCCACACTGAGCGTGCGGCAGCGAGTGTGCTCAGTGATGCCAATAGAGCCACTCGAGCGCCGAGGAGCTCGCTCCAACGGGGAAATGAATCAATACGGGTGGACCCCCTTCCTGCAGTGGCGGGAAGCGCCCCCTCCCGAACTGCCGTGCGGAACAAAGCGGCAGCCTGCGGTGAAGCCGGCGCGAGCCCAGGTCCTACACACACACAGGGCGGGCTGGCCCACAGGGCCCCTCGGCTGCTTGGCTCGGACTGCGGGACCCGCCCCCGCCCCGCCCCGGCGAGGAGCCTGGAAACGGACACCCGCCGCCTCCGGCCGCGCGCGCACACACACCCGGGCGCACGGCGGACACGCCGCGCGCGGAGGCCGAGCCCCGCCACCTAGGCGGTTCGAGGACCCTGGACAGCGGCTCCCGAGCGGCCGCGGGAGGAAGAAGGGGGTCGACGCCGCCCGCCCGAGAGGGCAGCAGGTGCGGGCGGGGCGCTTACCCGGCCGTGCAGTCGCTCTGGCTCCTCCGCGCGCTGCGCTCCGGCTCCTGCTGCCGCCGCTGCTGCCACCCGAGCGGCCTCGGCTGCCTCCGGCGGGGCTGGCGGGCGGACCCGCAGACCCAGCGCCGCCGTCCCCCGCGCCGGCTCCGCGCTCCCGCCCCGCGCCCCGCCCCGGGCATGCGCGCTGGCCGACTTGCGGCCTCGGAACCAGGGAGGGGGCGGTGCCGGCGGGGAAGCGGGGGCCGGAGGGAGGGGACCCCTCGCGCCGCCCCTCACCGCAGCCCCTGGGGTCCTGGGTTCCTCGCCCTCCTGGACCGGGTTCCCATTTCACAGACGAGGAGACTGAGGGGCGGAGCGGCTGCCTATTTGCCGCGCGCCTGTTGAGGGCGGGGCGCGCTGTCTCGGATCTCACTCAATCCAGCCCCGCGAATGCCCTCTCCTTGTTTAACCGAGGAGGAAATTGGGGCTTAGAGAGGGGAAGCCACCTGTCCGAGGACACGCAGCGCCTGGATGGGGACCTAGGTCGGCGCGATCTCTGAGCTCCCCCTGCGCGGAAATTTCCCGCCTCCTTCTTGGCCGCACTTCCGGCCTCCTCCCCCGCCCCCGTCCCTTTGTCTCGCCGCCGCCCACGCTCCCGCGAGTGGAGGGGGTTGGGGAGAGGCGCCTTCGATATCCCAGCTACTTGCCTCTCTAGCCAGGGTGCCCGCCTACCCCCTAGTCTGTGCAAGCCCGGTTCTCCTACCCTTAGGTTCCCTCGAGCAAGGCATTTCATCTCTCTGAGCCTCAGTTTCCCTATCTATGAAATGGGACTGACATTAATCACTTCACAGTGGTCTTGGAAGGATGAGGAGCCTGAAGTAGGTGTTCGGGGGCTTCCAGTTGAATCCGAATTGCCAAGGACGTGGGGACTTGCTGCCCCCCCCTCGACGTTTCTCGGCAAAGAAATAGTGCCCTCCTCTTCGACTTCCCAGAGGAGAGAAAATAATTCTGTGATTGCCGAGAGGCCATAAAACCGTGTCGCCTGTACTGTGAAACCACCTACTAAAAATGGTAATGACTGATGGCAATGTAACCTTGTTTAGGGGCAGACACCGTGCCAAGTTTTGTTTACAGGTTTCATCTAATTTCTATTTCCAATCACTTAGAAGCAAGTCAATATTAATGTATTATATCCCCATTTTTCAGATGAGAAAACTGAGATGCTGATAGGTCACTTGTCTGTGCTTACACAGCTAGTTAGTGGTGGAGCTAACTCCTGAAACCTCGCGCTTAACTCTTACTTACCTAGTGAACCATAAGTCACCATTATCTTAAAAAAAAAATTCTTTTAAAAATCTGGATGGCAAATGAAGACCATCTATCAGATCGGCTCCTGCCGCCAACATCCCACGGAAGCAGAAAACCGCGGAGTGCCGGACAAATTTTCAGCACCACGGACAACACCCGCATCAACGCTGCTTCCTAATGTTTCCGGTGCTAAAAATTGCTCCTTCCCTGCCCACAAGGGCACTTCGCTTCACAGTTTACAAACCCTATTCGACATTCATCGTTTCATTTTATTCCCCCTACAGCCCTTCAAGGTAAACATTATTGGCCCCATGATACAGATGAAAACATCGAGGCTTGGGGAGGTTCACAAGACATGAAAAGTGGCAAGAACCAACCTGTAATCTACAAAGCTCCCCCTGGGGCAGGGCGAGGGTGGACAGGAGTGGGGCCAGGGCATGAGGAAGAGGCCGTGGCAGGTGTCCAGGTGAGAGATGATGATGCCTGCACCATGGCAGCATTTGTTGGGATGGAGAGGAGGGGCCAGATTCGATACCTACTTAGGGGTAAAGTCAACAGGCCTTGGTCATGGGGCGAATGTGGCTGTGAGAGGAGAGAGGATTCGGAGCCTCTCTGAGGTTCTGCCTTGGGGAGTCAAGTGGATGGAGGACAGATACCCGATGAGCCCTGGGTAAAGAAGGGGCTTGTGGGACAGCCACGCTGAGATATCCAGGTCCAAAACTGAGCTCTGGAGTGGCCGAGGCTAAAGAGGTACCAGGGAGCTGGTGATGGAAGCCACGAGAGGGGTGTCAGTATGTGAGGGGAGAGTATAGGCCAAATAGGGTGAGATGAGAGCCCCTGGACACCCCGAGGAACACCAACATTAAGAGACCAGCTGGGAAAAGGAGGCTGCAAAGAAGAATGAGAAACAGTGGTCTGAGGAACCAGAAGAAGCCCAGGCAAGTGTGATGTCTCAGAAGCCAAGGGGAGAGAATGTTCCAGAAGGAGGTCCAGCACACCCACATCAGGAAGACAAGATGTGGCCTGAGAGATGTCCTCCAGACTTGAACGGAAGTTAACAGAAATTTGATGAAAGCAGTCCATGGAGTGGTGGGGGTTGAGCCGGACTTGGGGGGACAAATGATGAGTAAATGGGAGTAAGGAAGTGGAGAGGGCAAGAAGATGACCCTCTCGACAAGTTTGGGCTTGGAAGGAGAAAAGAGATGTGATTGTCTCTACAGGGGGACAGGAGGAGACTTGGAGGTATTTGAATCCTGATGGGAGGGGCCTGTAGAGAGGGAAAGGGGAGATGCCAGGAAGGGAGGGCATGATGGCTGGGCCCAGATGCTCATGGTGGAAGGATAGGATGGCATCCAGCACCCTGGGGCAGCTCACAGACCCTGAAATGAAGATTGAGGGAATGTGGCTTATTTGGGAGGTACAGGGACACCAGCAGGGGAGTGGGAAGGTGACCCAGGAGGGGAAGGCATCCAATAAAAGGTGGTTATTAAGCCAGCTACCACAGTGGGTGAGTGAAGCTTAATCCTGCAGGAAGTCTTGGGAAATGGGGTAAGTGCATGTCTCAGAACTCCCGGGCCAAGGGCAAGGGAGCTGGTGTATTTATATCCCCGTGCCTAGCAGACATTGGTGGAGAGCTGACCCGTGGGGCTGTGTGTTAATTCCCAGGCACTTCTGGCCCACAGTGCATGTGGGCAAAGGGGGTTCCACAGCCCGGGGGCAGCTCTTTGACAAAGATGCAGGTACTGGCTGTTGGGTGTCCTGCTGTGGGCACAGGAATGGTAAGGTCATCTGAGGGGATGTGGTCAGAGCTCTGGCCATGTCTGCTATGAGGGCACAGTCAGAGCCTCTTTCCATCTGTGCCCTTTGCCACACTCTTCAACCACTCTTGTTCTGTGGAGACTTGTTGATAAAAACATGTTTAAAAATGAAAATTTCCAGACAAGCAAACAGAACACTTCCTAAGGCAGAGTGGGAGCTTAAAAAGGGCACAGAGGCAGCAGTGTGGGTTCAATCCCAACCTCGCCGGTTACTGGCTGTGTGGCCTTGATCGAGGTCTCTCTGAGCCTCAACATCATCATCTGTAACTCTTAGCTCTCAGAGCTCTGAGGAGGATGTAGGGAGAAAATACAAACAACAACACACAAGGACCAGGCACAGCGCCGCACTCATGGTGGACACCAGGGCAATGGCCAGCCCCGCCCTGCGCATCCTTTTCTGACCATAGCACCTCCATTTCCCTTGGGGAACCACCTCCCCACTCCAGTCCAAGTGGTGGGGTGGGACTTACCCCACTGCCAGCTTTAGGGGTGAGCAGTGACCCAGGTGTGGCGGTGATTAGTTCTAAGGGTGGGGGGTGCAGAGCACTGGCCAGGGCAACTGGCTCTCACACTTCCCTGGAGCTTTGGGCATTGCTAAATCGGTAGTGTGTCCTCCTGGAGCTGCTGGGGGGTCATCTTTTTCCCCAAGTGGAGCGAGTCTGCCTGGGCTGTGGCTGTGGCTCTTCCTGGGGTTCGAGCTCATCCTGTGACAACCAGCATGGTTACCCACACCTGTGTGAGTGTGTGTGCGCGTGTCTCTTGGGCTGGTCTGCTGCTGGGAAGCCATACATACTCGTACGCACCAGAAGATAAACAAGTGCCCGCAGCTCCTTGGCTGGCGCCCAGGCTGGGGGCGGAATAAACAATCCCAGTCACTTTCTGAAAGGCAAGCGTGTGTGGCAACAGGCGCCATGGAGACAAGCAGACTGTACCAGAGCAGAGACGGCAGCCACCCCCCAACGCCACCCTTGCACACACACACACGTACACACATGTCATGCTCTCTCACATTCATGTCATGTTCATGTCCACTTCATAAAACACAGTCCCCCTTTCCCACCCACGCACACCCACCCTGGAGGCCGAGCCAGTTACCCCCATTCCAGCTTTGCTTGAGGTTCAAGGCTTTTGAGAAGGTCTGAGATTCCCAATAAAACGGCATCCATGGCTCCTGATCCCTTTGCCTGGACACTGGTCCAGGTCTAGGCCAAATTTCAGCAAATCACAGCCCATAGGGAAGGGGTGTGTGTGGGTGAGGTGCGGATCATATGGCAGGCAATGCCATACAAACCCAACTTTCTGGAAAGTTCTTGTGTTTGCTTCAGAGATGCACACACAATACGCATTCACCAGCTCCTTCAGAAAACACTCACCCATGGGCCGGCCCCGTGGCTTGGTGGTTAAGTGCGCGCGCTCTGATGCTGGTGGCCCGGGTTCGGATCCCGGGCGCGCACCGAGGCACCACTTCTCCGTCCATCCTGAGGCCGAGTCCCACATACAGCAACTAGAAGGATGTGCAGCTATGACATACAACTATCTACTGGGGCTTTGGGGGGAAAAAAAAAAAAAAAAAAAAAAAAAAAAAAAAAAAAAAAAAAAAAAAGAAAACACTCACCCAAACCCCTCAGCCTCTGAGGCTTGTACAGATAAACCCCTGAATACAGACCTTTAGATATGTACCTGTTTTCATGCATGCAGCATATAACCCGATATACCCTAGATGATGATAATGGTGGTGGTGTACCATTTACTGATTGCCTAATTGTTTTACAGTCATCATCTCATTACATTTAATCCTTAATGAAAACCATCTGAGATTGATATTGCTCTTATTCCCACTTTATAGGCGAGGAAACAGAAGTTCAGAGAGGTTAAGTAACTTGTCAGGGTCACATAGCTGGAAAGTGACAAAGCTGGAAGCCAAACTCCAGCCCACACTATTAACCCTTCTTCATTTACTTAGATATACTTGCAACACCCCATGCATGCGTGGGTGCGCACGTACACACATACACACGAAAACCCTGCCTCCTCAGTCAGCCCAGATAACTGGCATCCATAGGGTCACCTTCCCAACTCCAACCTCCTCATACACACCACTCCCAGGCCCTTACAGTGCTGCCCTGATGTGTGCCCTGGCCTGGGCACACGAGCGCAGCTTGCTGCCCACACAGGCCCCTCCCTCCCTCTCCACATCCCCACCCCCAGCAGCTGCAGGCCCAGGCCAAGCTGGGGGCGGCCCTGGGGTTTGGATGGGTGACTCAGGCTGAATCATGGCCCAGCTGCTCCTTGGCAGCCCTCTCCCCCATTCTGCCCAGAGAGCCTATTTTGAAGGCAGAGGCGGGCCTTGGGGTGGGGGACAGCGAGCGGGGCAGTAGGCGATGGGGTTGGTGGGGAATGAGGAGTCCGGCACAAGAGTGCCTCTGGGGCCCTCCACTCCTCAGTGGTCTGCAGGTGCTCTCAGGCAGCCCCCATTATGCCCCTCATTCTGCCAGAGAAAGGGGCCTGGACACGGGCCAGGGCTCCCTTTGTAAGCCCAGGGTCCACTTCGGCTCCCCTGCACCCCCTCTCGGCCCTAATAACAACAACAACATTAACTGTTCTAACACATCACAGCACTCTATGGTTTTCAAAGCACTTTCTCATCAGGATCACACAACTATTTTACAGTCCTGTGGGGTGGAAATTAGCATCCTTACTTTTGAGTGAGGAAACTGAGCCTGGGGGAAGTCGCATGAACTCTCCGAGGTCACACAGTGAAGTGACAGAGCCAGAAGCAAGCTCCGGCTTCCTGGTCCGGTTTGTGGAAGGAGAGCGCTGGGGCCAGGAGTGGAGCTGCAGTTGGGCGTGGTGGGGGCATGTTATCGGGAACGTGGGGTGGCGTGGTGGGGCCATGGTGGAGGGCATGGCGGAGTGTATGGCGGGGGTGTGACTGATGGCTTGGCATGTGGCAGGATAATGACAACATTTTTCTTTTTACCCTTCTGCAACTAACGGATTATGGAATTATTTACACTTTTAAATCTTTCCAGTGTTTTAGGCCAGTATCCCAAGGGTAACAAGTCCAGAGCTGTGCAGTTTCTACCGAGAAAACTTGAGCTATAGGACCGAAGACTCAGTTTCCCCATCTGAAAAAATAGGTCCAGGCCTCTGGGAGGGCGGGCTACTGAGAGGTGCCAGTGCAATCACGTGCATCATGCCCTTTAGAAGCCGTGAAAGACTTCACAAAGGCTGCTGTTTTTCACATTATGTTTTATCTTTTAAAAACACCCATGGATGCTAGGCAGAGGGCAGGGTGGGCTTCTGGGAGCCTGGGGGCGGTGCTGAGACGGGGAGTGGGTGACAGCTCTGCCTTCCCCCTGCCTGGGCTCGGCCTGGCCTTCCCCCGCCCTCAGCCCAGAGCTGGTTTCTAGGCAACGGGATGGATGCAGGGATGGTTCGGAGGGGAGAGAGCTATAAATAGGGAAAGGAGACAACAAAAATAAAGTTCCAGAGAAAGCTGTGGAGACACATTACTAGGGAGTGGGGGCGGGGATACTGGGAGGGAGATGGGCGAATGGTGGGGACACGGGGACAGCCCCCAGCCCTTCCTCAAGGGGAAAGGGAGGTTTTCAGGTTAGCCAGCCCGCAAAGGTCTGCAGAGTGCTGATATGGGGGGGGGGCCAGGGAGGGCTCTCTGTGTGGACAGCTGGGCGGGATGGGGGTGATGAGGAGAAACCACTTCTGGTGGAGGACTAGAGAAAGCTCAGAAGAGGGAAAGAGCTCAGCAGGTGGAGTTGTGGGCAGACCTCCAGGTGGAGGACAGAGCACAGGCAAAGGCAGGGAAGGTGTGGATTGGACGAGGTGGGGCTAGACCCACGGATCTCGGGAGGCCTGGCAGGCCTCAGCCTCGCTGACCACACACCCCACGTCCACGCAGACACAGAGAGGTGGGCTCTTCCTCTGCTGTGAGGCTCGTCTCCCAGATGTTCCATGCCACTTCCGTTTCATTCAGGTCTCAGCTCCAACCTCGCCTGCTCAGACGCCTGACTGGACCATCCCATTTTAATGTTGGTCACCACTCCCGCCCTGTCACAGTCTATCACATCTGTTTTCTGTTCTTCATAAAACTCAAAATGATCCTGTTCCGTGTGTTTGTTGATCCATGGGACGTGAGTTCTGTCAGGGCAGCGACCTGCAGGGCTGTTCCCTACAGGCCCTCACTTATAAGAACAGAGCAGGTGTGCAGCACACACTGTTGAATGACTGCATAAAGGCACCCACAAACAGGGACAACACCCGTGTACATGCGTGAGCACAGATACACCCAAATCACGTATGTAAGTGTGCACACACAGCTCACTGCCCCCCACAATCTCACTTGCAGTCTCCATGAAATTGCACAAGCCTGTCATCTCCGCTCCGCTGCCTCCACGTTTTCCTATTGTTGGTGTTTTTTTTTGTTTGTTTGTCTCCCCTTAAAGGAAGTAAGTAATTTTCTCTTTTGGAAAATTCCAAAGGAGCTGGGCTTTGGAGTCAGGCTTGAGGTTGGTGTGGCCTTGGCCATTTCCCAGCACTGTGACCGAGGGCAGGTAAGTTTGCCTCTCTGGCCTCCATTCTCTCATCCGTAAACTGGGGCTGATAACAAGGAATCCCTGAGGATGGTTTCAAGTGAAAACAGTGGAGACAAGTGTTGGATGCTTGGGACTCAACTGGGCACTTGGGAAATGGCTCTGTCCCTGTCACGAGCAAGGAGCCCATGAGCCGTGTGTTCTCACACACACACGTACAGCCAGGACTGCCGTCGGACACAGGGCTGGCACCTTCTGCTGACGCTTCTGGGCCTGTGCCTGGAACATATTTAAAGTGACCCCGGCAGATGAGAACATTAGTCTCTGGGCAGAAAACCAGGTGCGTGGCTTGGCACCTGGGAAGGAGGAACAAACCTCTCCACAAGCCAGATTGTGAACCTGGTTTTGGCATCTAAAAATGGGGATTGGGTGCTGATAGCTGGAGAGGAGGTGGCTCTCAAATTCTTTAGAGGCCAAACGGTTCATGAAAATGAGTGAAGTGGATGGGAGGAACACAAGAGGGAGGGAAAAGGACTGTTGCTAAGCGAAATCAAATGAAAACAATTTTAAACTTTGTGCTAGCAAATTAAAAGTCTCTACAGGCCAAATTCAACGTGAGGGCCACGAGTTTGCAACGCCCGCAGACTGTGGGTTGTAAATAGTGTCAATTCAGCCACAGGGATCTGCAGATCCTGGCACCGGCACGTTGGAAGCAGAGAATCCAAGCCCACCGGTTTATTCTACCTACACACACGTCTGCAGTTGCATCCTTCTTCCAGAATAAAGGCTCCCACACTGCAGGCCAAGGTGACCCGAGTGGACCGGTCTCCCGCAGCGTTCAAGGCCTTCCCGAGCCTGGCACCACCTTCCCGCCCCCAACGATTCAAGGAAGGAGGAGGCGCTGACACTTGGGGGTCGATTGAGGAGAGTAAGCTCCTCCCAGCCCTGGGACTAGAGTCGGAAAGGAGGCCGGACGGAAGCAGGGAAGGGGTGGAGTCTGGCGCAGGCGAGGTTGGTGGCCCCTGCAGCAAAGCATAGAGGGGCTCCCGCAGGGGCGGGGGCGGGGCTTCAGTGCCAGCCGGGGTTGAGGGCCGCTGCGGCAACACAGAGCAGGAGCGCCGCATCGATGGGGGCGGGGCCTCGGCGCGGGAGCTTCTGTGCCAATAAGAACAGCGCCTGGCCCGTGACGGAGGCGGGGGCTCTGCGCAGCACCGCGGCGTCTCCGCCCCCTTCTTCCCCACACCGAGGCGGTATTGGGGGCCCTCTAGTGCTGATCTCGATTGGCTCGAGGCGCCTGGCCAGCTTCCCAGCTTTCTGCGGACCCTCGCCCACTTCAGCCGAGGCCGCCGCAAACCTTCGGGCCCCATTCCAGGAAGAGGATGCCCGAGCTCTGCCTCCTTCTGAGGCAACTACCCATTCCCTCTCCCCTTGGATGGGTTTTTCTGCGTTGGGCAGGTGTGCGCAGGGGTGTGTGCTACAGGTGTAAACGTCCTGAGGGGAGAGGTATGTCTGCGCGTAACAGCGTCGTTCAGTGCCCGCGCTGCTGGTTTCCGAGGGTTTCTCCGCGGCGCGCGTACAACTGTGAGTGCGCGCGCGGGTCTGCACGTTTCGGCCTGCGGTGCGGACACCCGGGGCGGCGCTCGTGGACCAGCGAACGTGCACGCATGTCCGCGCGTGCGTGGCCACCCGCGTGCCCGCGCTCCGTGTGCGGCGAGGTGTGAGCCGGTCCACCCTGCGCTGCGGCGGCGCGGGGCTCCCCTCCGCCCTGCACCCCCAGCAGGTGCTTTATGGTCCAGCAGATGGCGCCCGAGGCCACCTTCCGCCTCCTAGCCAACTGCGTGTCCCAGCCCGGGAGGACCCCCTTCCCCCAGGTCATCCTGCGGGGAGGGGAGGAGATGAAGAAGCTGAGGCCCGAAGTGGTCAGTCGTGTACCTGGGCTGAGTATGCCGGGCCCCAAAGAGGGGAGTGGAGCAGGCTGGGACTTGGAAGCCCGTCGGCCAACCCCACCTGCCCTCCACCCCAGCCCTGCCCTGCGGCGCCGGCTACAGACAGATTGGCTTTATTCATGGACACGCGGGAGGCGGTCGGGCCCGCCCGCCCGGGACACGCTCACACAGCGTGGGGGGACTCTCCATGCCACAATCACGACACACGACGCCTCCGCTCAGACGGGGTCGGCTGGGGGAGGGGGCATGGCACAGCCTGGCTCCTGGTTTCGGTTAAAAAAAAAAGGTTCTTGGGGTCGATGTGAGAGTGGGGTGGGGAGCTCTGGGGCTGACCGGGGGCCCCTGGAGAGCCTCTGTCGGGGGTGGGGGGAAGGCGTCGCTTTCCGATCTTCGTTTAAAAACACACAGAACATGCTACATCCGCTCAGACACTGGACGGGATGGAGCGGTGAGAGGGCAACATGGGTGGGGCGAGGCTCCCAGCCGCGGCCGCAGCCCAGGCCCTGTCCACCCCCCGGGGTTGGACGCGGGCAGGTAGGACAGACAGATGGACAGACACAAACACAGCCTCCGAGAGTAGCCTCGGAGCGAAGGAAGATCTCGTGTTTGGGGGGCAAGGGTAGAAGGACAACCCTGGCTCGGGGGAGGGGGGGGCGGGGAAGGGATTGTGCTGCTGGTGGGGGCCGTCCTGGGCCCTTACGCCTCTGGCTCATACTCCTGATACTCCTCCTGCATCAGAGGGATGGGGGTGGAGTGAAGAAGAGCAAAAGAGGAAGGGGTTGCAGACCACCTGACCAGGCCCCGGCCCGAGACCCCTCCCCCTCAAGGAGGAACAGTGCATGCCCCTCCCCCTGGGCAAGGGAGAAACCTGGAAGTTGGGGACAGCTTGGACGTCTCTGGGCAGGGGTGCCTGAGACCCAGTGCTAGGCCCCTTCTGTTCTCCCTCCCTGCTTCTGCCTTCTGGGGCCTGGGTCCTAGAAAAGGGAAGCCTGAAGCTCTCTGCCCAACCCTACGCTGCCAGAGACCTCCCACCCCAGCTTGGACGGCAGCAATCTTTGGGGATGCCCAAGGCCCCACCCAGCCCTGCCGCCCCTCACCTGGGGCGGTTCCTCATAACTCTCTCCTTCTGGCTCCATCAGGGGCTCGGTGAGCGGCTCCTCAGCAGCTTCCTGGGCCACTTCCTCTGGCTGTGGGCAAAAGAGGAACAGGGGCCGGCCCGTGGCTTAGCGGTTAAGTGCGGGCGCTCCGCCACTGGCGCCCAGGTTCGGATCCCGGGCGCGCACCGACGCACCGCTTGTCCGGCCATGCTGAGGCCGCGTCCCACGTACAGCAACTAGCAGGACGTGCAGCTATGACATACAACTATCTACTGGGGCTTTGGGGGAGAAAATAAATAAATAAAATTATTAAAAAAAAAAAAGCAACAGGGCCTGTGAGGGCAGCTGGGGAGGCCCCCCCAAATTCCTGCCCTGGAAGGCTTCCGACTGATTAGGGGAAGGCTAGCCTTTGTTGGCAGTGCAACCAGAAATTTTAATTAAATTATTTGGAGTGCCTTGGAAGAGGGATGAAGGTATGAGGAGTGAGATCCCTCCAAATCAGGCTGAAGCTGGGGTGGGGAGGGGAAGCGGGGCTCCCAGCAGCTGGCAGCCTCCTGTACTTCCATCATTTGGACTGGATGGGATGGGGAGACAGCACACTGTCACCCATTTATCTCTGCCCCCTTTGTGTCAGGCTCTGTGCGTGGCGTCAGGACCCCAGGGATAACCCTGGAGGCTCCTTTGGGCTGGAGGGAGATGGAGACTCAGCGACAGGGCTGGGCAGAGGCTCTGGGCCATTCCCCTGCCACTTTCCACCCATCCCTCCCCCAGGGCCCTGTGTGGCCTGGTTTCTTCTGCTGTTGCTATTTTAAGATAAGCTGGAAGCAACAGCTCCGTGGTGTTGCTTGGATGTGTGAGCTAAGACTTTCCCCTCCCCCCTGCAGCTGCTGCCCAGAGGGGTGCAGACCAGTAGGCATGCAAGTGGGGGGCTGCCAGACATGGCCAGCCACCTGCAGGTGAGCACATATATATACACAAACACGGGACTGAGCTGGTTGCACACACGGATACAGACAATAACCTAGGGTTCATGCACAAGCCCACATGCACACCACCTCCCCCACTTCCACAGGTAACCTCTGTCCCTCCCAACTGGGCAGAGAGACGAATCTTGAGACCCTGGAGGGCCGGCGCTGAAAGGCCTGCCCTGACCACCTCTGCCTCGTTGCCCCAGCCCATCCAGGCAGCTTCAGCTCCTTCACGTGACCTGGCTAGGTGGGCCCTCCAGGCTCAGGAGTTCACAGCTCCTGGCTTGGCTCACTTGCCGCAGTGCACAGAGGGGCACACCACGGCCCAGGAGGCGGGGAAATGTTAGTTTGCTCAGTCACCCAGCCACGACCAGAGCCCGGGAAAGAAACAGTGTTAACGTCCCAGCCCCCGCACATTGTTTGGAAACGACTCACATGCCCAACAACAGGAGAACGGCAGTGTGATGTGTGCTGTGATGTGTGCGTTGTGGTCTGAGCACACAACGGGTGCTGCACAAGAACGGAGAATGACAGCACAGACCACGCGTGGTGGAATCTCGCCCTCACTGTTGAGCGAAGGAAGCCGAGTACAGAACTTAGGGTGACATTCACTGGAGTTAAAAACACCCAGCCCATCTGTGATAGAAGTCAGGAAGCAGCGACCCTTGGAGGGTGAGGTGAGGTGAGTAAGGTGCCCACTCTCAGAGCCGTGCAAATGAGACCCCAGAATGAGTGCCCCCTTGAATGTGCCCCAGACACCTCACTCATCTCACCCTAGTCTTGGCCCTGCGGTTAGGGACTGGAAAGGCGCCTGAGGCCGGCTGCTGGGTGGGGGGGGTTCCCTTTGTGAACATTTCGTGGGGCTGCTTGCTCTCTGCCTGCGTGTTGGGCTTCAATAAAAAGTTCACTTAAAAACAGCCCCTCCTGGCTACTCACTAGCTGTTTGATCAGGCAATTCACCACCTCTGAGCTCAGCTGCCTAGGATGGGAAAGAGGACGGTGCTCTCTGCTTTGTAAGAGTACGGGGAGGATTCCCTGACAATGTACGGTTGGCCTCCGCATCCGCGGGTCGCGCATCGGAGGGTTCAACCAACAGCAGGTGGAAAGGCCTGCGATGGCTGCGTCTGTACTGAACACGTACAGACTCTTCATTCTTGTCATTATTCCCTAAACAATACAGTATAACAACTATTTACGTAGCATTTACATTGTATTAGTATTACAGGTAATCTAGAGATGATTTAAAGGGTACGGAAGGGTGTGCGTGGGTTATATGCAAATACTACGCCATCTGATAGAAGGGACTTGAGCATCCGCGCCTTTGGTATGGGCGGGGCTCCTGGAACCCATTCCCGGCAGATCCCAAGGGACAGCTGTCCCTGAGCAGGCTGGGAGGTGGAGACACTCGGAAGTGTGCAGCCTGGGCTTGCACACATTCCCCCATGCCCGGGGGCCCCAAAGGGCTGCTGTTTGGCTTGTGAATCTACGACCTTGAGCTCCCTTGAGAGAGGAGGCTGAGGTGCCAAGTGTGGGAGGAAGGCACCTGAGAGATGGTTCTGTGCAAGGCCCCTCAGGACAGCCTGGAGGCTGACGGTTCAGGCCCACACCCGCCTCTCTCTGCACACCAGCTCTCAGCACAGGGCCTGGCCCCAGGTCAGCACCAAGCAACTCTGAAGACATGCTCAGGTTATCCTCCCAACCACCTTCTCAGGGAGGCAGGCAGGAATTGGGATCTCGGGCAATTCACTTCACCTCTCTGAGCCTTAGTTCCTTCATCTGTAAAATGGGCTAATTGTGGTGCCTTCTTCCTAGGGACACCGTGAAGACTCAATGAGTTACTCCATGTAAAATGTCTAGAACAGTGCCTGCCCATACAAAAGCTCAATGATGGGAGTGACCACCGGAAGTGTAATGATAAGACCTGGAAAGTCACACAGCTGGTAAAATGCACAGGAAGGACTTGACCCAGAACTTCTGAGTCGAGTCTCAGACTTCTGACAGGGGAAGGAACCAGCTGTGCAAAATGTCTGGCGTGAAGGATGGTGTGGGGTCTCCTCCCACAGCCCAATGGATACACTCATGTGGAATGCACACTCATCTCCCAGACCAAACGCTGGGGAAGGAGCCCCGACCCCCACGGAGGCAGTCTGCACTTGTACGCGGACAGACATGGCTCACCCCATTAGAGGAATGTCTGTACAGACCTATAGGCCCACAGAGTGCACCGTCACGGTGGTATATTTCCACACACACCTGTGGTCACACAAGCCCCTGTGGGCAGACGTGGACCGCTCACATGATCATGGGGCCGCCGTCTCTTACTGAGCACTCACGGTATGCAAGCCAGGCTTTTTATCAGTGGTTCTCAAAGTGTGGTCCCTGGACCTGCAGCATCAGCATCAGCTAGGTACTTGTTAGAAATGCAAATTCTTGGGCCCCCTCTCAGGCCCACTGCATCAGAAACTCTAGGGATGGGGCCCACAGTCTGTATTGTAACCTGGCCTCCTGGTGATTCTGATGCACACTTCAGTTTTGAGAACCTCTCATCTGTATTATCTCTAATCTACATAAGAGCACTTTTGTGTTCATCTCACACCTTACAGGCAAAGACTCAGGCTCAGAGACATGGTGGGACCTGCCCAGGGTCACACAGTCAGGAAGTAGTGGAGCTGGCATTCAAACCCAGCTCTGTGGGGCTCTAGAGCTCACATATCTTATTCTACAGCGTGTCTCAATGGAAGTGTCTGTCTTCATGTACACATGGATAGCCACCACCACTCCCCTGGGGGAACATGCCTACACAAACGTGTGACACACAGTTCACCCCGACCCCATGGCCCACACCTGCTTATGCCTGCCTCAGGGCCTTTGCATGTGCTGTTCCTATTGCCTGAAATACATTTCCCACGTGGCTTGCCTCATCCCTTGGGTGTCAGCTCAAATATCACCTCCTCTCAGCTAAAGTAGCCCCCTCACCCCTTGATTCTCTATCCCTTCACCCTTGTCTTTTCTTCAGAGCACTTATCCCTGTCTGAAATCATCTGGTTACTTGGTTGGCTTTTTACTGTCTTCTCCTAGTACAGTGTCAGCTCCACAAATGCAGGAACCTATTCACTGCAGTTACCCCTAGAACAATTCCTCTCTGGCATGAATACTCCTTGAGTGAAAAGAAATGAATGAATAATCAGTGACACATGCAGACGTGGCCAGAAGTGGTCCAGGCCACACTCGCAAGCAGGATACATGTATACAGCCAGATCTGGATCACTGTCACAGGGAGTACCACGCCCATACACACCTCCATGCAGACTCATCCTGAGCTGAGTCTAGCAGGGCCCTGCAGACCATGAGGCAAGGAGCTTTGTGCAGGGCTGAGGGCACAGGGAGCCTGGTGGCAGGTTTATGGGTGTTTCTGGCATGTGTGTGCATGTGCATGCACACGTGAACGTGTGTGGTAGGAGGACCGCTCACCTTCAGGTCGGTGGGGAATTCCTCCTTCTTCACGAGGCCTGTGGCTGCTGCGATGTTCCCAGCCCCAGAGAACACGGCTCCTCCCAGATGTGACGCCTGCTCCTTGGTTTTCTCAGCCACTGGAGCAGGGAGAGAGTAGGGAAAGGGGTTAGGGGCAAGGGTGAAGGAGGCATAGATGCCCCCCTTCCCATAGTGTCCCAGGGCCTGCCTTCCTGTGGAACATTCCCCCCCCACCAAGCCTTGGGGGTGCCCTCTTCCACCGTCCCCTCCTCCCACCCTCTGGATCTGGCCAGCTCACAGGCTGGGGTGAGGGAGGGGGGCTGTGCCAGGGCTGGGCTGGTACCTGAGGCCACTCCTTGTACCACCCCCTCTCGGGTCTTGCTTCCTGTTGGGAGGAAAAAGGAGCACATTTAAGGGCTCGGAGCTGAGGAACCGAGACTCTGGAAGCACGGTGGGGACAGAGCGAGCAGAGGGACCCAGTCAATAGTGGGCATTCTGGCCCCATCACTGCTTCCTTGGGCCCCCAAAGACCAAGGGCCCCCCTCATCACCGCACTGAGCCCCCCACACCTACATCCTCAGAACTTTGAGTTCTCTGCAGTCTCCCCCCGCCCCCCCAATATGATACCCGCACCCCTCTGGTGCCCGAGCACCAGCACTCCTCTCCCCACTGCACGTGATCCTCTCCCAGCCCTGGGAGCAGGTGCTGTGACCGTCCCTGACTCACAGATGGAAACAGAGCTCAGTTAGGCTCCCACAACTAGTAAGTGGCTGAATTGACATTCAAGTTCAGGTCTGACTCCAAAACTCCAGCTACCACTCTATGAAGCCCAGGATGGGAACAGGTGGGGTGGGAGTGGGGTGAAGCCAGGGGATGCAAAAAGGCTGTGTATTTGAAAGGTTCCCCTGGTGCCCCCATCGCACCTCTGGACACCCACATCCACCACCCCCACCCCATTTCTTCTGAAGACTCTCTTCTCCTAACAAGGGTGCCATCCTTCCTTCTGGTCGGGGTGGAGAGTGTCTAGGGTGCAGGATGGGTCTAAGGGTGATGTGCAGATTGTGACTGACACCCGCAGCATTGGCTGGGCCTTCCCAGGAGAGCAGCTACTTGGTCACATCAAAATGTGGGCTGCTGGGAAAGGTTGGGGGCCTGATCTGAGATGGGGAGTCTCCCATTCTAAGGATTTGGCAACCCAGACAACAGCTGGTTGACTCAGAAATGGGCGTCTGGGCAGGCTGAGGCTGGTGGGAGGAGGAGAGGCTGGCGTGGGAAGACAGGAGTCTCAGGCCGAAGGCCAGGCAGACCCAGAGATGGGGGGGCAGGGCTGCATGTGCACCCATTGATTCCTCCCACAAACATTTGTGGGCACCTGCTCTGTGCCAGGCCCCCAGGCCAACTGCTCAGTGTCGCATGGGGTAAGAGGAGGGCAGATTCAGTGCCCTGGACCTCAAGTAGTGAGGAGTGGACTTCCAGGCTCCAGAGGGTATGTGACGGGGAAGGGGGCACTGCTTGGGCCTTGACAAATGGGGAGCAGGTGGATATGCAGAAAGTAGACCAGGGAGGGTATTCCAGGCACAGGGAACCATGCAGGCACAGAGAAGTGTCCTTTCACGGAGGTGGCCTGCACGGAGCACATCACCGCAGTCTGTGTGCCTGGAGCGATGGAGATCTGGACTGAGGCAGGACCATGCAGGGCATTGAATGCTAGGCTGCAGGGAGCTGAGGCTTTAACCTGTAGGAACCAGGGGCCATCGGAAGTTCCTGAGCATGGGAGGAGCAGGAGGGGCCAATCTAAGGAGAAGGGGGGCAAGACTAATAGCAGGAAGACCGTGTCGGGGTGCCAGGGGTCCACAAGAGTGAAAGGGCGGGGGGGGGAGACAGGAGGGACACCAGAGCTGGGGCCCGGCAGGTGTGGGCTCAAGCCTTCTCTGTCTCATCACCCTGTCCTAGTTCCAGCACACTTGTCTGGTGGCTTCACGACCTCCTAGCAGGCCTCCCTGCAGTTTGCTGTGTCCCCAGAGGCCTAAGGGTCTTTCTATACTGAAGTCAGATCACGTCAGTCCCTAGCTTATAATCTCCCGTGGCAATTATAGTAATGCTGTGCCCTGGCCTACAAGCAAGGGCTCCCTCATGAACCTGCTCTTGCCCCCCTGTCTGATCTCATCTCCAACCACTGTTTCCTGCCCTCCCCTCTCCAGCCCCCACCCCTGCCCTTCTTCAGGGCTCAGCTCAAATGCCAACCTCTTTGATTACCCTACCAAAGTGGTCCCCACACCAGCCACTTGATGTCAGACTCCACTATTGGATGCTCTGTACCACTATCAGGAGAGCCGGCACCAACCAGCACATGGTACCTGGTCAATAAATATTTTTCAAACTACCACAATCCCAAATCTACCACAACACCGGGCAAGTGAACCAGCCCCCTTCAGCCTGCATGGGGGAGAATTCTACCCACTGCACACAAAGAAGCCCCAAGCACCATGTGGATTCAGTAAATGTCAGTTTCTGGGTTTTGTTCCTCCCTTTATGCAAATGACCCTGCAGGCTCCCTCTCCCTCACTTAGGGTGAGAAATTTTAACCACTTGGTCTTTCTCCTAATGACAGCATCCAAAAGCTGGGTGGACTGAGAGAAGAAATGATGATGGTGGAACCACAGCATTGGGAGGCAGGGAGACCTGGAGAGCAACTTAGAGGTGAAAGTAGCTGAAGAAGAAGGCTGGAAGGGAGCCCCGAATAACACGGGAAGGAGGTCCCACATGGGGACAGGTGGTGCTTTGGGACCAGAAAGCTTGGCGAACACTCCAGCCTCAGGTTCTGCGGGCTGTGTGACCTTGGACAAGACAGTCAGAGCTGCGGAGCCCCAGCGTCCCGGCTGTGGAACGGGCAGGAGCAGTAACTAGGCGGTGGGCACCCCGGCGCTCTGCACGGTGCAGTACTTGCCAGAGTTAGGGCTCAACACCAGGCAACTATTAATAATGCGGAAAAGAATAAGGAAGAGAAGGCTCTCTGCTTGGATCACTGCATGGGTCCTGGCCTTTCCATGAACCCCACCCTCGCCAACACTTTCCCCATCCTCCTCTCCTCCGTCTCATCCCTGACCCAGGCTTCCACCGCTGGCCATGTCCCCAGTGACCCCTGCTGACCCTATCGCATCTGCTGACTCATATTCTCCTGCCCAGACCCCATCCCCGGCCCCCTGCCCAACCTCCTTCTAAGGACCCTGGCCTCACTCCCTCGGAGGATGCCAGAACCCTGCAGCCCCAGAAGCCGCGCCCCTGGCCCACCGACGTAGAGGACGCCCTCCTTGGTCTTCTCCGCCGCCTCAGTGACCCCCTGCTTGGTTTTCTCCGCGGCGGCCACGACGCCCTCCTTGGCCATGGACAGGCCCTTCATGAACACGTCCATTCTGGTGGCCTGGGGAGATGGAACACACGGGCACGGGGGCGCTGGCCCCGCACCCGCACCCCAGCCCTTCTCGAGGGATGCGGGTGCCCCCTCCCCTCGCTCCTGAGACTGTGGCGCCCTTCCCGGCCCGGAACCCCCTCCCGCCTTACCCCCTCCCCAGCGCGAGGCCACAGGGCCGCGGCGAGTCCTAGCGTCCTTGAAAGCTGGGAACGCGGGAGGGGCCACCGCCTCGGTTATCCGGGGCCCTGCAACCTGCAGCCCCGCGGAACCGGAGTGCTGGGTTCGGCACGAAGCCTCTGGGCCTGCCTGTACACACACGACAGAGTCATACAGCCATGCACACAAATATACTCCACGGACACGCTCATGTGCACATACAGGACACGCAGACGTTCAAACGCTCACGGATACTTCGACACACACAGACACACGGGCGCGGACGCACGTCCACAAGGCCACCCAGGCAGTTGCAGATACAGAGCAGCAGACACACATATCCCGGGGCGCACTCTGATACGCACCCACCGGCGCCCTCTCTCTGTTCTCCAGCCCCTTCCCCATCCCACTCAGTCTCCCCTCCATCCCAGCCCCTTCCCCATCCACCCCAGGCCCTTCCCCATCCCACCCAGTCCCCTCTCCATTCCCAGCGCTTTCCCCATCCCCGGCGCCTGGAGCGCGGCCGCCTCACCTGGATGCGAGGCCCGGGCTGGGGATGGAGCGGCAGCGGCGGCTGCGGCTGCGGCTGCGGCGGGCGGAAGGAAAGGGCTCGGCTAGGCCGGGCTAGGAGGGCTCAGGGCCAGTGGGGGGTCGGGCAGTGGCCAGGCGCTCAGGTCGGTCTGCAGCAGGCGGGGCGCGGGCTCTGAGCCGGGCGCAGCAGTGCCCGGGCCTTGGGTGCGTCGCCAGCCACCGCTCGCGACTTGCGCCGTGCTCGCTCGCGCGCTCGGGCTCCGGCTCCGGCTCCGGCGCTGCGGCAGCTCTGAGCTCAGCGGCCCCCTGGCGGCCGCACCGCCCCCTCAGCCTGACTGACAGGGGGCAGGGAGGGTGACATCTCCCCGGAGCCCTCTAGCCTCCCGGGCAGGCCCCTGACGCGCCGCTGGGGACCCCGGGGAGTGAGACTCGCGTCCTGCCGCCGAGAACCTAGTCTTGTGGGGGAGACAATGTGGGGTGCTAAGAGTAGGGAAGAAATACTGCAGTTGTCTTTGGAGTTCAGATGGGTTGGAATCTTGGCTGTGCTTTGCATTAATTGTGGGACCTCGGGCTACTCAAGCTCTCCTTTCTGAATGTCAGTTTCCTCTCCTGTAAAATGCAAATGGTTCATTCAACGAACGTGGATTGAGCGCTTAGACAGGTGCCAGGCAGGTCTGAGGCTGGAGACAGTGGGCATGGTAAACAGGTCCCTGCTTTCAGGGAGTTTACAATGGTGTGTTTGTGGGCAGAGATGGGACACAGGACTGAAAATACATGTGTCAACACTTAAACCAAACAAGGTTGTTTCAGCTTGTGAGAAGTGTTAAGAAGATAATAACATGGTGATGTAACAGAGCGACCAGAGGAGGGGTGCTGGAGACAAAGTGGCCAGGGAAGGCCTCTGTGAAGAGGGGAGCAGGAGCAGAGACCCCAGAGAGGCACCAAGGCCAAGATCCATAGAGAGGGAACTGGGAGTGCAAAGGCCCTGAGGCAGGACTGTGCTTAGGAACAGATAGAAGACGGTGCAGCTGGCGAGCCAGTGAGGAGAGAGAAGAAGATGGATAAAACCCTTTTTTTGTGTTGTTATGGTGGGGATTGTGAAAATGGCCATAGAATGCCAGGCACACATAGGCCCTCAGTCTGGGCTATGACAGAATTATGCCCAAGAAGCTGTGGGATCCCAGAGGAAGGAGACTCTGACCGCTTAGGCGGGTCAGGGAAGGCTGTACGGAGAAGGTGACATCTGAGCTGGGCCTTGTGGGACAGGTAAGATTCCATCTGGCAGACAAGGGAGGAAAGGAATTTTAGTCTGTGGGTATAGCATGGGCGAAGTCCCTGTGGCGGAAATGCAGGGCATGTAAGTGATGGGTGGTGATGTGAGGGTGCAGCTAGCAGCCACAGTGTGCAGGGCCTGGGAAAAAACGTTCACAGGCTGCTGGTAGAGCTGCAAATTGGCGCGTGGTTTTTGGAAGGCAACTTGGCAGTGTTTACCGGAGACGTAAATGCTGGCTCCTTTCGAGCCAACAGTTCCCCTTCCAGGAATTTATCCCTTGGATCTCTACTCACACAAGTGCACAGAGACATTTGTGCAAGAATGTGCACTGCAGCATGGTTTATTGTAGCAAAAACCTGAAAATAATCTCAACGTTCATCTGTAGAGGACTGGCTAGTTAATTACGGCACAGCCACCCAGGGAAATGCTACGCTGGCATTAGAAATGATGAGCCAGGGGCCAGCCCGGTGGCACAAGCGGTTGAGTGCGTGCCCTCTGCTGTGGCAGCCCCGGGTTCGCCGGTTCGGATCCCAGGCACGCACCGATGCACTGCTTGGCAAGCCATGCTGTGGTGGCATCCCACATAAAGTGGAGGAAGATGGGCACGGATGTTAGCCCAGGGCCAGTCTTCCTCAGCAAAAAAGAGGAGGATTGGCAGATGTTAGCACAGGGCTGATCTTCCTCAGAAAAAAATAAATAAATAAAAAAAAGGAAAAAAAGAAATGATAAGCCAAACCGTGTGCTGACAGGGCCAGCCCCGTGGCTTAGTGGTTAAGTGCGTGCGCTCTGCTACCGGCGGCCCGGGTTCGGATCCCAGGCGCGCACCGACGCACCGCTTCTCTGGCCATGCTGAGGCCGCATCCCACATACAGCAACTAGAAGGATGTGCAACTATGACATACAACTATCCACTGGGGCTTTGGGGGAAACAAAAAAGGAGGAGGATTGGCAATAGATGTTAGCTCAGAGCCCATCTTCCTCAGCAAAAAAAGAGGAGGATTAGCGTGGATGTTAGCTCAGGGCTGATCTTCCTCACACACACACAAAAAACAAAAAAAACCCAAAGAAACAAACCTTGTGCTGACGTGGGCGTGTGTCAGGATACGGAGGGAAGGGAGAGAAGCAAGGTGCCCAACTGTGATGTGGGGGACAGGCCACTGTTGATACACAGAAAATTTATGCACACACACACACTTATCACATACTGTACACATTATATAGACACCTTTCTAACAAATATGTACTTACATCTGTATACACGGAACACATCTGCAAGGATTTCCACAAAACTGTCAACAGCACTCGCCCCTGGCAAAGGGGACCGAGAGCTTCAGGGGGAGAAGCTTTCACATTTCATCGCCTTCCTTCTTGTGCTGTTTGATTATTTTACCTTGAATAGTATTTTTGTACTTGTATAATTTAAGAAGCTAGCATGAGGGAACATCTGTCATCTCGGCATTGGAGCTGCCCCCTTCCTATGTTTGGGGGATCTCCCCCCTTGAGGCAGAGCCCACAGTCCCCTCTAGGAGCTGACAATGCTTTCCCAGCCTTCTTTGCAGCCAGGATATGTGACCTCAGCCCCCAGATACTCCAGCCCCAGACTTAGAACCTGAAGCCAGTGCCAGAAGCAGCAGGGAAGAAAGCAGCTCTGGTGAGGACGGGTGGTGGTGGTGGTGGCAGCTCCTGCCAGGGTCCGTGGGCAGCAGTGACCCTGCTGCTGGGAGCGTCCGGCACTGACAGGGCCAGCTGTGGCATCGGGAGCCTTCCTGAGCCTGCTAGGCCGTGTGTGTGATGTGGGGCCTCATTCCAGGCTGCATGGTCTCCAAGGAGGAATCTCTGGCCTTCCCAGAGAGCTTCTGCACTGCCCGGTATATTTGTGAATAAACTCCTCTACCTAAATTAGCCAGAAGTGATTTTTGTGACTCTCGACTAAGACCCCTGAATGTCAGAGCAGGTGATGAAGGAGGACTGAACAGGAGGGAGGAGAGGAGGAAGAGAGAAAGAACATATGAAGGGTGTCCATCCTTCCTATTGTAGGAACTTGGAAGTCACTGAAGGATTTTAAGCACAAGAGAGACCTAAATGAGATTTGCATTTTAGGGGGCCAAGGGAGGTGGGTTGGAGAGGGACAGGGCTAGATACAGCAAGATGGTGAGGAGGCCGGGGCAGAATCCACAGGAAGGATGGCGAAGCCTGCACGAGGGAAGCCCCAGCGAGGTGGGAACAGGACAGAGGGCGAGATCTGGGGATAATTTAGGAGGTGACTTACTAGGTGTTGGGGAAGAGGGGAGGGATGGGTCTAGGACAATTGTCAGGTTTCTGGCTTGGGCAACGGGGTGAGCAATGCTGCTGCAAAATGAAACAGACATTGAGGGTGTGCAGCAGCTTTGGGGGGTGTCGGTGAGCTTGTTTGGGGCATGCTGAATGTGTGTGCCTAGCAGACAAACTGGAGGGGATGTCCTGCAGAGAGTAGGATATCTGAGCCCAGAGCCCCTGAGTCATTCCGGGATGGCTTCAGGTATAAGATTTGGGCCACGGTGAACTGGGAAATCTTTAATACACGGCTCTGCAAGTGGAGAAACACCTCGATTTGTCGAGTTTGCCAATACCCATGGTGTAAATTCTCCCACTGTGGTTGATTTCAAGCTGTCAATGTGATGTCACTGAATGGAGAATTGGGAAGAGATGCACGGGAGCACACCCTTACATAGTATCTTCACCATACAGATAAAATAGATAAAAATAATCTTAAGATCATAGATAATAGTAAAAAAATAGGATGTTACCTTTTGAGTGTTTATCACCTTTGTTTTTAACAGAATTTACATAATCATAAGTTTATATAATTTAATTTTTAATAATGGCTTTAACAATAGGCTCACAAAATTCCTGAAACTTTAATAACTGTTCTTACGAGCTGGTCCAAGCCAGCCCTGTACACCACTGGATTTGGAGTCATTAACATAGAGGACATGGCTGGAGCCATGGGGGGACACGACTGCCCAGGGGAACACGGAGGGTGAAAAGAAGAGAGGGTCAGAACAGAATCCTGAGGCACTGGAATCTTCCTGCATGGCCAGGGACAGAGGAACCTGGGAAAAGACTGAGAAGGAGCAACACAGAGAGGAGAGGCTGGAGAGAGGGGCAGCAGGGACTCCAAGGGGATCAGAGGACTGCTGGATAAATGCTACAGAAAGGCCAAAGCCGTGAGTAGTGAAGAGTCCTCGGGTTGGCAGCTAGTGGCTGTGGGGAGTTGAACAGCAGCACAGGGGCTACGGGAGGCCAGAAAGGAAGGGGCACCCAGGGAAAGCTTCCGGGAGACAGTGACATTTGAGCTGCGTTTTGAAAGGTAAGAAGGATCTTACAGGTGGTGGTGAGCATTCCCAGCAGAGGATCTGGCAGGTGGAAAAGTCCAGAGTGTAGAGGGAACAGAAAACAGGATAAACTCTGAATCAGGTGGGAAGTTCATTTGGCTGTTAGTACAGAAGCTTAGGCAAAGCAGGTGTCTATTCTCTCACTTAAAGAAGTCCAGCAGTAGGCAGTCCACAGTTGGTGTGATGACTTCACAGTTATCAGGGACCCAGACTCTTACCTTCCTGCTCCACCATTCTCAGTACATGGATTCTACCCTCAAGGCCACCTCATGGCCCAAGGTGGCTGCTGCAGCTCCAGCCATCATGTCTATGCAGAAAGCAGTAGGAGGGGAAGCAGGGTAAAAAGAACACCTGCTAGTTGTCTGTCTCTTTCATAAGGAGTTTTTCCAGAAGCCAACAACTTTTGGGCTTACGTCTCATTGGCTATGCCTAACTGCAGGGAGGCTGGAAAAGTATGGTAATCTAGCTAGGCTAGATCAATCTAGATCTAGCTAGCCTAGAATCAAAGTACAAGAAGAGGAGAATGGTTACCGAGTGGGCCACTAGCACCTCTATTTTTTTCCCCCAACTTTTTTATTTAGAAAAATTTCAAACCTAGAGACAAGTTGCAAGAATAGTACAATGAACAAAACCTCC